AATGACAAACATAAATATCGGCTTTACGATTGCAACGTGACTTCATTTAAAATCGAACAAAATATGCTAAATAATGCCAAAGCCAACAACAGCAATGACAACAACAACAACAACACACACGTACAGCAGCGGGCGCACATTTAGAGTCACACGTGCGTGGTCAAGAACCTCAAAAAGCCAACAATTTTTGCCACCAGCTCAGATCAAACCAAAAACAAATTAGTTGCAAACGGGCATACACGACTGTCAAATGCTCGTTTCACTAATTTGAAATTGAGTTGAGTTGACATAGTGGAGCATACCATCGAGGTATAGATGATTGAACTGTAGAACTTGTTGGAGTTGGTTCCAGATGTAAGATAGTTATAGCTTATGCCTGGGCTTGTAGCAGGTATTCGTATAGGCTTTTAGGTCTATTGAATGAGCAAGTCAATAGACTTGAGGCAATTTTACTTGAAAGTTGCAGAATTGTTCATGTTTTGTGGTTCAACTACGTCTCTAAACTCTCTCTTATCTATATATCAAACATAACCATATGAGCCATAAGTAACTTATAACATAAGCTCATTTCGTATGGATCTATTTAAGCTAGATTCTTTGGATATGATTTATGTACATATGTAATTGTATCTAGGTCACATACATACTTACCCCACATTTAAACCATTTTGTATGCCTAAATTATATTTCATATACATAGATCTCAGATATAAACTACATTCCTGGTACATATTTGACATGTATTCCATATTCATATACTCTAGATATATACCACAATAAAAGCCTCCTCCTTCTGTTATATAGCTTAAAGTTATGCCCTCTTGCTGCTATGCTCCCAGGCAACTCCTATAATAGATCTCATCTCTCTATATCAATCGAGCTTAAACTCTAGTATATCAATCACAGCTCAGGTCTCTGGCAGACCCAACACTGCCTAAAGCCAATATACTCTTCACTAACTCATAAATAATACAAAAAAAAAAAAAAAAAAAAAAACTAAAAAAGGCCAAAAAACAAATTTACTCAAAATGTGAAACAAGCAACCAATAAGAATAATGTCTATAAAAATTAATAAATTTTATGTACCATTAAAGTTGTTGTTGCTGTTGTTGTTGCTGTTATTGCTTTTATTATACAGCTATAGCTTCCCCTCCCCACCGCTCTCTCGCTCGTTCCCTCTCTGCCGCCAGCAGCGGCCGTTGCTTTGCATTTTAAAGAGCTGCTCGTTTTGGCCAACATTTCTTTTCAATTTGGCCAAGACGCGCGGCTCTATTAACAGCCATCAATATGCCAGAATGAGTAAAAAAAGATGTCAAATTGGCAATTTTATATTTATTCTTTCTCCTCTCTCATTATAACAATATGAATTGTTGTTGTTGTTATTGTTGTTGCTTATTTTTACTACATACATATTTGCTGTTACAATAGACTCCAACTGTGGACTCGGACTCTATATTGAGCCATAAAATTGGCCATTTTCGAATTTGGTTTTCGATTTTTTGACAGCTGCGCATAAAGCTGCTCGTAAATGTCGGCCAGCTGACGATGCTCTATGGGCTCAACACTATCAAAAAAAAAGAAATAAACAAGTCAACCAATAACCCATAAAAATAAAAACTGACCGAGAGAGAAAAAAGCAAATGACAAAAGCCTCAGAGCTGCGGGAAATAATAAATTCAATGACTAAATGCCTTGCAGGAATGCTGAATAAATATTAGAAATGGACGCCCACACGCCAAATGGCCAAGATAAATTAAGCCAGGGCTATTTATAGGGCACATATAAAACACTCAAGTGCGGCCATAAATAATTTCTGCTTTTTATTTATTTTTTATTTCTATACAAATCATAAACACAGTGCAAAAGTTCTGCATACTAAATCCACTAGGATTGTGTGAATAGAGCAGAGTTGATTGATGTGTTTAGTGGATATAAATTTGATATTTATAATATGATAGAGTTTAGTTGAGAAGAAGTTCAACTTTCGCTAGGAAAATTCATTATTAGTTTCTTGTTGAATAGTAATATTTATTTTTATATAATAATAAATATTTCTAGTAAATAAGAACCATAACAGCTATATGGTATACGATCCTAATTGATCAAATTCTTCTTATAAAATGTGCTAAATAAAACAATAAGATATCTCAATTGTCATCAAGAAAGACTTTCGTTATATAGCCAATCATACTAACTCCCCTGACAATCTGTCAAGAATGAAGAATACCAAATATGCCCAAGCCAACTGCTAACAAAATGAATTTCTACACATTGAAATTAACACAAAATAACAATTAAACCATAAGTCATAAATATTATATAGGCACCTCGGCAAAATGGGCCAAAACCATATCAATAAAACACTAGCCTGGCTAACAGATATGAGAGAACGGTACTAGCTGCCTTAAGCTCTTCCTCCTCAATTGCTCAATTTATGCAAATGGCTTTGTTTCGAGTGCGTAATGCCCATTTATTGCCGATTGCTGGCAACGGCATTTTAATATCCAGAAAATAACTTGGCGTACGCGTGTATAAGAAATTATCAAAAAAGAAGAAGAATTATAAAAAATAAAAAATGTATATATATGTATAAACAAATCAAATATTACCTGCACATAATTTCACTAGGCATACAGAATAAGTTGGCCAAAGCGAAAGCCCAAAAGAACAGGTTCGTATTTCTGCTGCTGCTGCTTCTTCTTCTCGTTGTTGTTGTTGTTGTCAATATGTCAGACTGCGACTGTGGCAGACAGCTGGAGGCACTTGTTGCTGTTGCTGCTGCTGCTGTTAGGCCTTTAGTACCGTTGTGCAGTTGCCAGCGCTGCCTCTGCCAAAGTCCACAGCCAGGCAGTGAGCCGAGGCAGCGAGCAGCGAGCAGAGGCAGCGGCAGAGGCAGAGGCCGAGGCCACTTAAAGATTCCGCGACGCTTCGGGGCGATGCGTTACGCATTTTGATGAGGTCATTTGCGTGTGAAGCGCACTAAATGCGGCCCACGCTTCTGGCCTCTGGCAAGCTGGAAAAATCGAATTCAATTCGTGGAAATGCCTAGCTAGGAAAAGTCAGCGTACATACAACCCCAACTCCTGCCCATTCCTTCCTCCGGCCAACGTCTATCCCTCTGAAAATATATTACTCATATTCGCCAAGCGAAATCTATTAAAATTATCACACGCCACGCTGACCTCAGAGCCGGGCAAACATTTTTCAAGTACCGTTCCAAATACTCTCGTTTATGTGTCGGCGTACATACGAAAGAGAAAAAAAAAAAATATATGAAAATAAAATAAAAAACCGAAAAACTAAAGCCGAAAAAAATGCAAACAACAACGAAATCAACCGCAGCCAATAAAATGAAAAATGCTTGGCAAAAATATTGCGGCAAAATAATTTGCCACGCTCGTAAATTTTCAGCTCATAAAAAGAAACGAACTACGTTGGTGGGTTGTTGTGCGACAGTGTGTGTGAGTGTGTGTGTGTGAGTGTGAGTCAGTGCCGGGCATTTCTCGAATTGAGTCAGATTTCAGTTTGGCTCCGATCAAGCCTCAACTCAACTCTCAACTCAACTCTCAACTCTCCGTGATATATTGCCAGTGCCTTCGTCATTTGCATGTGAAAAGCCGGGAAAAAAAGTTTCTCTAATTTGCCAAATGATTATTATGTGTGCCTAAACAACGTTAAGTGTTGCCATAAATAAGCTGCCCAGACTCTCTTGTCTTGGCCAATAAAAAAAAAAAAAAGAAATAACGCTGGCCATAAATATCTGACAGACCCACAGGTGACAAAAACTATTGAAGACCACAAATAAACAAAATTCAAAGATTGAGATGATCGAAAGGAACCACACAACTAACTGAGTGAAGAGTAGGCTATAAGCAAAAGTCTCATATACTGCCCAACAGAACAGCTTGTAGAACTATTTTTAATTAATCTAATTGCCAGCTGACAGTTCTTTCAATTTGAAAAGCGGCATTCGTTGAGCACTAATCGATATGTAATCAGTTGTCAAGCGGCCCACTGCACTAGAGAGACAGAGTGAGAGAGAGGGGGAGATATGTACAGCTGAAATTGCATAAATTTAGTTCTTTTTTAGCGCGCGTATTCGAAAGACTTAGGCAACGAACTTGCATTCCGGCAGGCGCTTGCGCACTTAAGAGAACAACAATAAAAGCAGGCAACAAAGTGCGCAATGATATCAGGCTGCTCGACTTGGAAATACCCTAATTAATAATACCCTGGACATATGCGATATAACATATCAAATGTAAAGCAATGGGTAAAAAATAAAATCTAGAGTCTTAAGTTTGGATAGATCGTTTGCAGAAGAGACAAATATAGCTTTAGTGATATATTTCTTATATATCCGATTAGTAAGTTCCTTGAAAAAGGAATACTAGTACCTCAGTCCATGTATTAATTATGTTACGACAATCTACATAGAGAACAAAGTCGATATTTATTAAACTTCCGACATGTTGAGATCGATTAAAGCATTTAAGATTAAAGAAGATATAAGTAAAACCATATGTAGATTTTTCCAGTCTTCTACTTCTTCCTTAGAATATCTATAATTTAATTAAATTTTCTAGCCATMGCTTCCTTAGGCAACTCCAACTCTTGTACTCAAATAGCCCCAAGAAATCTAGAAAAACAAATTTGAATGCAAACCAAAAGCAAAAGCTAAACCAAACTCGAATTGAAATGAGATGAGAAGATGAAAATTAAATTGAAAACGGGCCCCACAAAAAGCGCTGCTCGCCATAAAAAATCAAGCGCAGAAAACGGCCGAAATAAAGATAAGCGTAAAGTGGCAGCCCAGAGATGTTGGCCTAAAGTGTTCGTTGGCCCAAAGTGTTTGTTGGCCGGCGATAAAAATTTAATCAAAATTTATGAAGACTGCCACGCCTCGCGCACCACATGCGCCTGCACCACTCGTGGCTATATAACGAAGAATTTACACTACAACTAACTCGACTCTTGCATTTCTCTCAATCTGTTTGCAGTCCCCGGAACTGGATTATCGGCACGAGCTGGTGGGACGCCTGCACAAGATTGAGCCGGCCGATGTGGAACTGGAAGTGCTAGCTGCTGCTGCTGCTGCCTCCAACAACAACAACAACAACAATAGCACGAACAACAACAACAACAGCAGCAATAGTAATAGCAACGGCAGCAACAGCCAAACAGCCAACAGCAACAGCTCCGCAGCAGCAGCAGCAGCAGCAGCACAGCATCATCACCACCATCAGCTCCACCAGCATCACCTGCACTCGCACCACCATACGCACACGCATGCGCATGCCCACCACCACCACCAACATCATCATCAGCAGCATCATCTGCACCACAGTCTGCAGAGCGGCGAGAGTGGTGCGGCCGCCTTAGATGCCTGGCACTTGGCTGCCTCCAGCTATGCCAGCGACCAGAGCCATCAGCAGCAGCAGCAGCAGCAACCCGCCGGCTCGCCCAACTCCAACTCGAATTCCGCCTATGGATGTGGCCCGCTCTACGACGATGCGCCCTACGACGTGGCACTGGGCTATGGAGCGGGCGGCGGAGCGGGCAACACGACGGCAGCAGCAGGCAGCGAGAAGGAGTATCTGTATGGTAAGTAGAGAGAGTGAGAGAGGAGAGAGAGAGAGAGGGAAAGGGAGAGGGAGATGCTGTGACATACAATTATTACACGCATGGAGAAATCTCGCAAGTCAATAGCAAAAACGAGACGCGACAACGTGCTCATAGCTGAAATTTGAGCCTAAACGAAGGCAGACGAACCAAGCACCAGCCTCAACGAACTGAGAATGCGCTGCAGTAGGAGACGAGGCTGGGAGGCGAGCGAACTGTATGATAATCATACAAGTGAGAGTTGTTGTGCTGGCTAGCTAGCAAGAGTCTTGGCTAAATATAGCCAAACAGATCGAACGAACGGTTGTTTATAAATTTCATGCATATGCGAGATTTCTTTGTTTGCATTAATAATTCCCTGTTTGAGCGATCATTTGCATAAGGCATTAGCAGTTTGATTATAAAGTGATTTCCTTTACCCCACCACACACACGCACACAAACACACACACACACACACAAATACACACACTTACATATATAGAAACCAAAAACAAAGAGGCTCTCTTTGGCGATCCACTGGACGATCCGTATCAGCGACCCGCGCTCTGGGACGATATTGCCACCTCAATACAGAATATCGATCCGGAGAATGCGCTCATGCTGAGCGGCAGCGCAGTGGCCAATGGCGGCGACAACGCGGCTGCGACACAGCAGCAACAGCTGCTGCCGCAGGTCAAAATGGAAGCAATAGATGAAACTCTGCTCGAAACTTTCTCGACACCAATGCTCAGTCCCATGGAGATTAAAACTGAAAAGCAGCAGCGACAACAGCAGCAACAGCACCAGCAGCAGCAGCAGCAACATCAACAGCAGCAGCAGCAGCAGCAACACCAGCAGCAGCAATACCATCAGCAGCAACAACACCAGCAGCAGCAACATCAGCAACACTATCAGCAACATTATCAGCAACAGCAGCAACACTTGTACCAGCATCATCCCAGCCTCTCGCTGTCCGGGCTGCCACCCGCTGCTGAAGTTGTTGAGCTGCAGTTGCAACAGCAACAACAGCAGCAACAGCAGCAGCAGCATCAACAGCATCTTCACAGTGGCAGCAACAGCCCGAAGCAGTCAGCCGGCGACAACAACAACTCGGCCTCCTATCAGCAACAATACGCATCTCAGCTGAACGGCGCATCAGGCGCTGCATATCTAAACAGTAGCAGCAACAACACCACCAGCAGCGTCGCCACCACCAGTAGCAGCAGCAGCAGCGGCTCTGGCGGCAACACCAGCAGCAACAACAACAACAACAGCTACGGCTACAGCTGGCATAGCAGTCAGGTGAGAATCTCAGCAATTGTTGCTCCCGCACAGCTTTCTATTTTGTCTTCCCGTTCGCTCTAGGCCTTTCACACCAAATACCAAATACACCCGCCATCAGCTGTTGCCGCAGCGTCACCCACCACTGCCACGCCCACAGCTCAACATGTGCTGCATCAACAGCAGCAGCAGCAGCAGCAACAACAGCTGCAGCTCTGCCCGCCAGCCGCTCCCAGCACGCCCTCCGCCACGTCCGCCTCCTCCTCCTCGGGCAGCGTCACCTCCACAGGCTCCGGCTCGACGCGCCACATGTTCGTGCCGCCACTGACCCCGCCCAGCTCAGATCCCGGCAGTCCAGGCGCCTCCATGGTGGCCGCTGCCGCCGCTGTTGCTCAGGCCCAGAGACGCAGCACACCGCCGCCGCCCTACCAGCAGGGCCATGGCCTGGCCGGGCTCTGCCCCAGCCTGGTGAGTCCGGCGCCCACGCTGCAGCTGCTGGGCGCTGCCACGCCCGCCACGCTCACAACCCTGACGCCCGCGAATGCAGTCGCCCAGCAGCCGGCACCGCCGCCGCCGCCGCCCCCGCCCTCGAGCAGCGGCCGGCGCGGCCGGCACGCGCACCACCAGCCCGGGACGCCGGCGCACATCGCGAGCCTGATGAGCGTGCGCACCGTGCGCTACAATCGACGCAACAATCCGGAGCTGGAGAAGCGTCGCATCCATCACTGTGATTTTGTGGGTGAGTGCAATACGCAGATTCCACTAGCCATATCCATTTCGATTCACATTCTCATTCCGATTCTCATTCCAATTCACATTCCCATTTCCATTCTCATTCCCATTCAATTTCCCACTGAGATTCAACAGCCTCTGCTTGGGATGCGCTGCATGCGCGACTCGTTTATCATTTGGCGCGCTTTGCGACACTTTTTGTAGCAAAGTTCGACTTCTGCCCCACCGCCCCGCCGCCCTCGCCCCATGCGAGAGCACGGCCTGGGCCTCTACTCATTGCGCATGCGTGCGGCGTAGAGCCAATCGCCATTTATTTATTTATTCTCCATTTATCTATACATTTATTTATTATCTTTCCGTCTTAGCTGTCGCCCGCTGTGCCTATTGACAGTTGTTGTGGCGCTTTTTCTAATGCCTCTTTTGTAATTCCAATTAGCCAGCGTCGCATTTATGTAAGAGTCTCCCTCTATCTCTCTCTCGTTCTCTCTCAGTCTCTCGCTCTCACTCTATGTGCCTGTCTTTCATCTCATTGCATTGCATTTCAATGTCAGCCTGAGGACCTTGTGTGATGGAACAGTTAGCTGACTGATCATAGAGCTATGAATAGGCTGCCTATTTTAATCGGAGGAGTTGATGGACTGAAGTGAAGTGGACTGAAGATCAGCTAGACATGGAGATGGGGGAGTAATATTGGATCTATTTGAGAAATGCTAGTTGAGCCTAAAGATGAAGTGAGTGTGTGAGGGTATCATTAACTATAGATCAGTTGTGAGAGATTACTTGAGATGAAGAAATGAGGATCACCAAGAGAGTAATTTTTTTTAGCTAGTTGATGAAGCTGAAGATCAAGAGAGGGTGAGAGAGAATGAAGGCAATTTGGAAAGTTTAGCCTGAGAGCTATTGAGAAAATATGAGTGAGAAGATAAAATCGTAGAAGAAAAGATCAATAGAAGATCGCAATGAGATCTATGAAGCAATTTAGTTAGCCAGGTAATGAAGAAGAAGATTAAGTGAGGGACAAGTGGAACAAAAAGGAATGAGAAATTTCTAACAAATTTAAGTAGATAAAGTAGTAGAAGATCATATAAGTACTGCATATAATCATATCAAAACAAAATGATGAACAGAAATATATACAGAAAATGGATAGAGTACTAGAAGATATTCAGCTCAAAATTATATTTGAATTTATTAGAAAGGGGATCCTAGCTGATCGTATAAGATTAGCAATCACAGAGACTAGGAGCTATACTAAATGAATTTATCTTAAGATGAGCAGCGCCACAGCAATACTAGATCATAAAGCTTTTTATTAATTGAAGATCATTTGAGATTATTTATAATTGAAGATCAGCTGATAAGCAGCACAAAGAAGAAAGCTGAAAGCACCGATCAATATTTGAGGATCAATTAAAGATCCAACAAAGATCTACAATCAATCGAAGATCAGCAAAAAAAAAACTCTTTGCTCAATCAAAAAGTCTATTTTTTTCACCAATTTTGTGTCGATCAGTCCATTAGCTTTTAACGGGTTCGTTCGCTGCGAGGGTAGCGCAAAACACTTAACCCCAAGCTAAATGCGACGTTGTCTAGCCAAAATGATGGTTCGCCCGTCTGTCCGTCTGTCCGTCCGTCCCTCTGTCTGCCCGTTGTTGGCGTCGCTAGCTACGTGCGTTGCCACTAATAAATAATTGACAATTGTCTGACACGTTTGCCGTGGCCATTTTTAGACAAAAAGCGCGTACCGAGCACAAATATTTTTGTGTGCGATTGCCGATTGCCGTTGGCCTGGCTAGCTGGCTGGCTGGCTGGCTGGCTGGCTGGTTTGTTGGCTGGCTTAAAGCTCAGTCTAGGCTACAAAAATGCTGTCCAAATGAAGTTATTATGCCATAAGCGCACGCATCAAGCGTCTCCTCGACTCAACTCCACGCGGCAACTCCGCCAACTCGGGGAGATTGCAACTGGCTAAGTGAGTTATGTCTGCAGTAGTTCGCTCTGGCTCTGTGGCCAACAATTCTCGTAACTTTTGCAGTCGCAGCCAATCACGCGTCTAACTGTCATCGTTGTTGTTGTTGTTGTTGCTGTGGTTGTTGTGGTTGTTGCTTGGCGTCGACGCAACATTCTTGAATCGCTTTTTAGCTATCAATTCGCTCTGGCCATGTTTGTCTTGCCTGGTGGCTTACCCGCGCTGGCTGCCTGTATTTTTAGCCAAGTCTATGGCTATTTGGGCATTGTCTTCTCAATATGCGCGTCACGTTCTACTCAGCTTTCAATTAGAGCGAACGTGCTGGGATCTCTAAGCATCCTTTTAAGTGCCACATAAATGTCTCATGCTGTGCACAAGTGAATCTTGTGCAACTTTCACCAACAACATCCAGCAACAGTAACAGCCACAGCAACAGCTACAGCTGCACGGGCTTAATTAAAGGCTCGATTGTAGCGACGCCCACTGACCCACTGACAGCAGAGCTGCAGCCACAGCAACCACAACCACACAACAGTCGCAGTTGCAGTTGCATTCACACAGCCTGCGCTGCACTTTGCAATGTGCCTCTTTTTTTTTTCGTAGTCATCTTATCAAGATGTTTTTTCCTTTGCTCTCAGATAAATGGCCAACGAGTTTGCCGACCCAACACACACACACACATACACACACTGAGACTTGCATGTGAAGTGCTTAAAATTGTTAACAACTATTGAGCTAGCTGTTAATTTAATGGCCAAGATCATTGCAGATGCCTCGCGGAGGCTGCTTTGATTTAAACAGTTGTTAAAATTATGGCTCAAGCTAACAAGCAATTCATAAAATATAGCTCAATTATTCATGGTTGTTGTTGTTATTGTTGTTGTTCTTGCTTTTTAATTAATATTTATTTATCTAGGAGATGTGTATTTAGCAGATAATCGTTTCTTTTAGTTTTATAAAAAAAAAAAATAAATAAAAATTATGCTAGATTGTTGCTGAAGATCAGGGATAAAATGAGAGAGAGAGAGAGTACTTACATATTTGATCAATATTTATATTCGAGTTAAGCGTGCAGAAACTTCACTAAGCGCAATCAATTTATTGAGCTATAGTAAGTCTGATTCGCTCCTTAAAAACAGTTTGTTTTTATTATTCATATATGTACATATATACATACTAAAACTGTATATATATAAAATATATTATATTAATACAGTAGAATCCCGATAGGGCAAGGAGATCAGTTTTTTTTTTTTTTTTTTTTTTTTGATTTACGCAGAAATTTAAACTATCGAGAATTATTAACAACGAATTTCTTTCAAGAGGATAGAATTTGGTTTCGATTTATCTTGATTTTCGATTGATCGGGATACGAATTATTGAGACTCGACTGTATTTATATTTAAGCTAATGAGACTTGCTACGATTTGATAATGAACCATCAGCTCGAGCTTTTAAAGCGTTACGATCTATAGAGTCTTATTTTGCTGCCTTTTCCTCTCTTTAAAACGGTCTACTTGTTATTCATTATCTGCTTAGCCCACTCCCGCTAGATTATTATACACATTATACATATATAACTATACCTATCTCCCCCATATATCATAGCTATCACACATCTAACTTTCATCTGCTCATTCATGCAGCTCCACACGCCTCACAGATTATAATAATATATTTGTATATGCCTAGATATTCACTCCTTTTGCCTGCCTCTGCTTATGCAATAAAACTTTCTTTTTTTCTTTGGCTATTGCAGGTTGTTCCAAGGTCTATACGAAGAGCTCGCACTTGAAGGCGCATCAAAGGATACACACGGGTAGGTTGTTATTGATAGTTAACTGGCTCACAGATCCACCCACCGCCCAGTGCACCGCTGCACCACTGCACCGCTGCACCAGCTGGCATTAGTTAGTTATGAGGCGCCGCTAGGCTTGTCCGCTGTCATACACATCGCTGGCTGCTCCGCATCCGTTGTAGGCGTAGGTCGGGCTTATTACCAAAGCACCACCAGCACCGCCAGCACCGCTAGCACCACCACGATGAGCCAATGCTGCGGCAGCTGTGCTGCGCTTGTTGAGCAAGCGAGCGGCGCAAAAAAAGGCTTTTGATTAATTCGCGCGCTCATATTTGTAGTTGCCAGCACATAATTTGCCAAGAGCTCGGAGCGGCTTAGTTTTTTTGGTTTTTGTTTTTCAATTTCGGCGCAGCAACCACAGAAATCGTGATTTCTACGGTTTCGGTATTGCTTTTGTTTTTTTGTGGTCAGTTGCAACATCAACAACATCAACAATCGCCAATCGCCAACGCCATCAGCTGGGCGCACGTTTGGCCTGCATTTCCTTCTTGCTCAGATTACACTTGACGTTATTTTTGTCTTTTTGCTGGCCTTTTTTTCCGGGCTCCAGCTGTAGAGTATCTGCTTTTTTTGGTGGGTCGTTGCCGGTTGATCACCTGCCTCTGCGTTTTATGGGCCACACGTTTTATGCCCCTCATTCGCGACTTTCAACTCTCGACCCAGCCCCAGCCGCAGCCACAAACCGAAAAGAGTCTCTCAAAGTCCCGACCGCAGTTCTCCTTCACTGTTTTAATTTTTATTAATCGCACATGACCAGCTGATTTATGCGCTGCACTAAAAAACATTTTTATTATTATGATTTTTTACTTTTTGCTTTTTTTTGCTTTTTTTTGCCTTGCGCTGATTTTCACTTAACTGATAAACTTAACGCCCCGCTAAAGAAACACAACACGGCATTTGATAAGCCCGACGACAAGTACTCAGAGTCAAGGTGAAGCTGTAAATTCTCAACGACTGAGGTTTTTATAAGGCTAAAAACGTTTCAAAGTCATTTCAAGATATATGAAAATAGCTTTTGCCCGTTGCACATATATATATTTTATTTTTATTATAAATGTCAATTTGATATGCATAAAATATATATGCAATATAAATGTAGTATGAGAAGGTTTAAGGCAATTTATATAATATATTATTAATATATGCTGAAATAACTCTAAAAGACTTTCAGCTCAGATTGAATACTCTACAAAAAATAGAGTTCTTCTACCCATTCATTAATCATATTTTAAATAGAAATCTTATAGCTAACACCCACTCACATATTTAAACTCTTTCATCCACTCTCTCTTTCTCTCTTGCGCCCTCTCTCTCTCACTCTCTTATGTAAGCCTTGTCAATGGTAGCTTAAGATCTGGTTAACAGATTTAATTGCCTGACGCCCGCCTGTGGGCCAACACGAACGAATGCCAGACGAATCAATGGCCTAATGGCCACGTCTTTGGCCATTTGGCTCAAATCTCTTGGCCAGCAATTTGGCAGCACTTTTCGAGTGGCAGCCACCATTTGTGGCTACCGTCTGATGGCTGTCCGTTTGTTTGGCTTTTGACTTGGTTAACTTCGTCACACGCCCAGCCACAAATACACAAACACACACACACACACACATACACATACACCTAGGCCCGGCACAGTCGCATTTTTCATGCAATTTTGAAGCTGCGGCATCTCGTGGCGCCAGACCCCAAGTTGAGTGTTGTCTTAGCTGATTAGCTGGGCTGCAGCTCAAGTGCCAAGGCTGGACACATCGAGCATTTGGCTCGGCGGCTGGGCAGGGGACACTTCTTGGGCAAGTTCGTTGCCTAAGTCTTTTGTTTGCCAGCTCGTAAATTTGTCGTTTTTATTTGGGCTTTTTGTCCTTATCGGCTAGGCGGCGATTAGAAAATCAGCCAGTAACTAATCTTTATGCAGCGAGCGAACGCATAAATTTTTACATATCTACCTGGGCGACTGGAAGACTGGGAGACCGAAAGGCTGGAAGACAGAAAGACCAAAAGACTGGACGCTGTTTGCCCACCGGCTGGGCTTATTTTGTACTGATTTGTTTGCTAATACGTTTGCGTTGCCATAAATTAGTTTGATTTTTATGCCCCGGCGAGAGTAGGAGTTGCCCAGGCCGCTGCCCAGGCCGCTGCCCAGGCCTGCGGCTAGACATGTCTTCTAGCTAGTTGCGGCCGGCCGTTGCCTTAATTTATATGCGACTCCGATTGACTCCATACACACACACATATAAATATATATATATATATGTATGTCTGTGTTTATATCTATAGTTAGTTGCATGTTGAGCTTATCGCGCCATACGCTAAAATTATGAAGTAATTTCGTCGGCTTTATCGCATTGCGTTCATCGCACATTACAAAACTACATTTACATAACTTTGTTTGTTGTTTGCTTCGGCCACGGGGCCTGGGCGCGGGCCCCTGGCTCCGGCATCGATGCTGATCTTTGTTTTAGTTACGAGCGATTTCAATTTTTCGCCATTGCCAAATGATATTCCCACGAGTGCGCGATCTGTATTTGTTGTTGTTGCTGTTGTTGTTGATGTTGTTGTTGTTGTTGTTTACGAGATTCTGTTTGGGCAGTTGCTGTGCCATGACTCACCCAGCAGCCATTTATCAATGTTTTCGTAAAACCAAACAAAGCTTCTTACATGAGGAAGTGAGAGTGAGCGAGACAGCGCATATGTATGTGTGTGCCTGCAAGTGTCGATAGGTAAATTCTTTTTTTTTTTGATTATATGTTCAGTCATCTCGAGGCACTTAAGTTCATTAAAAGAGATCTAAATAAACCAATAAGTCACGCCACGAGTCCGTCGCTCATATTGAGTTTCTCTATGCCCAAATCTAAATCCCACAAAAGTGTCAGCTGAGTGCCACTTCTCGAGCTTCAGCGCAACGCTGAAGAGGCATTTTCAACCGAAAATGCTGTAAAGAAGCAACAACAACAACAACAAGCAAGAAAGCTCTAGTTGGAACTGCCCGACTTGGATATACCCTTAACACCGTTCGAATTGCATTTTTACTTTGTTATAATCACTTGTTTGTATTTATTAAATTAACAATTAATTAAAAAACA